AAGAGAAGATGATCCCATATGCTGATGATAATAATTATTCTTGAAATTAGGATCACGGAATTTAGAAAAGATAACCCGACAGTGCTTGAGAGTGAGCTTTTGAGGCCGTATTTCCTTCACTCTCTGAATCCATGAAAGGGTTTTTGAACAGTCAACTTTTTTCGCAGGGACTTTGAGCAATGAGCAGCATAAGGCTACCTTCGGAAAGGCTTGGCACTGCTCCGGGTGACGGCCTGATGCACGTAACGAATTGCGGATTTCCGCTAAGAAATCTTCCTTCTGTGAACTTCTAGCTGGAAACATTCCTTCACCGTTACATTTACCTTATCTTATATCCTGGGAGAATGGGTTTAACCTTTTTCTTTTTGTTCACGTTTTTACATTAATCAAGTCAATTATCAGAGCAACGGTATTTACCACTCAAAGTAAAAAATAGCAAGGAATCCGCATTAGTTGTGCAAAGATATGATTTCTCATTTCATAATCGTTTGCGTGGATTATTCTAAAAAGCAATTTTAAATCAGTTTCAATGCCTCGCGAGAAGAATGAAGGAATTCTAAAACCGAAGGTTAACACCATATTGCACTAACCTGTACTACCACTAGTATAGCAAAGTGAGCACAAGTCCTCTGGTTTGACTTCCTGGAAAGAATGAAATTCATAGATTGACTCCCAGACACTGGAAGACCAGAAATAGTCGGAATGAATTAAGATGCAATAAAATATCCCAACTTTGTGCAGACTATTGTCTCGCTTATGCGTACGACGTTTTCTCAACGATATCTAACAATATCTATGAAACAATGAGAAAAAAATATTTTCTTTGAATTGATCCAGTAATATTCTTTGTTCTACAACCTTTTCATTCGATTGCTCCTATAAACCGTTCGATGTCGACAGGTGCAGCTTATTGACAGAGTACATGTTCAACTCCAATCCCACGTTTTTGAGTCATTAACAAAGAGCTGTGAATCTATTTTGTTTTGCCGATAACACGAGATTGATTCCACTCTGTGTGAGAGGAAACATTCACACGGTAACTTACAGCTTTGGGCTGGACGTCGCTTTGCCCCAGAGCCTGTAGCAAATAACAATAGAAACAATTATGTGAATTCGGCTAGAATCAACAGAAGCAATACCTTGAAATCAAAGTTTTGATCAAATTAATAATATATATATCTATATTGCAGGATTCAATCAGAAAATCACAAAATTTAATTAGGGCCTTTTGTGAGAATATAAAGAATCGTGAATCGATAAATCCACGGCAAATGATTTCTTACCAGAGAATCAACGTAACTTTCCGTCACATCGTTTTGAGTGGTTTACCAGCTAACAGTGATTTCTTTATCATACTTTCTCAAACTCTACTTAAACCAAACCTGGCGTTGTGGAACGTCATACATTAAATAATAACAAAGTAGTGTTATATATATATATATATATATATATATATATATATATATATATATATATNTGTTCGCCAAGCTCGGCGAACAACTGAACACCAAGTTATACTACTCGAGATACAAAAACAACAATCAACACCGTTGTTTACAAAACTGTCATATATATACATCTATATATAATACAAATCGTTACAGCTACGGGGTCGAAATAATCATGGATTTAACACAAAATAAAGGAACTGGAGGGAGAGAACAAGAAGCAGTGAAATTGGGAATAACAAGTTTTTGTTTGTTTAATTTATGCCGCTTTGAGTTTATTTTTGTTTTTGTTTATTTTTGGGATAGCACACAGGAAGGGATGCGTTCATGCCACTGAATTCGGTTCGATGCCATATACCGCAGTGTCCTCAGCCAAAGACAATCCGAACCTTTGCGTTCCCACCAAAGAAGCCCCAACGAAAGCCAGATCCGAGCACAATCTCCTTAATCCTTTGCACCACGTCATAGCCTGCCCACCTCACTGTTTTTAGGGCCTGGACCGATGTCCGCTTAAAGTGCATGGTGTGCAGACGTTACTCAGGTATTCGTACGACTGGGAAGGAAGCGAATATTTCAAAGAACTTGATGGGGTGGCATACAAAGGTGGACAGTATCAAACTTAAATGGGCTCTCTCGCGATTTTATTCGTTGTTTACCGATTTAACTGTTGGCAACTGTGACGAGAGTACATTAGCGGATAGGTCGCGGTAAGGGAAAAAGGTAAATTGTCGTCTATTATTTAAACCCAGTAATTTCAAATTTACACACTTGCACCATCAGAAATGATTGAGCAAGAAGGTTTATTCGAGGAGCGGGACTCTATGTAAATAGGTGGTAAGGCTAAAAGCAAAACTGTACATCATACATACGGGGTATAACTTTTTGGTAAAAAAACATTCGAACAGGGCTGTTGAAACCCCTGTTCAGAGCTAGTAACGTACATGTGCAATGAATGTAAGAAGTTTATCAGCCGGGTTTTATCTAGATTACCTAAACCACAAATGTGTCTTTCGTCATCCACTTCACTCCTGTCCCTATTCCTTAATCAATATTGTTGCATTACACAATGAATTATCTCTGCTAATGGAGCAAACGTTTTGGCATGTTCACTTTTAATTGAAGGAGTTGTCAGTCAAGAATTAGATGGAAACTGCTGTGTGGCTGTTCAGCTAACGTCTTCAGTAAATAAACACTGAATTCAGAAGTTTTTCAGAGAATCGTCCTACATCTTTCTTGTTACTTTTTCATAGTTTTCCCTAGTTTCTTTGTTGTTCATGATGTTCTTACTTTGCAATGTTTAGGTCAATAAATTTAAATTTTTATTAAGGGCAAATCACAAATCTGACGCTTATTGAATCCCATGGGATCTGTACACACTGGGTTCGGTTGGTAGTACAATTGAATAGTAAATGCTGATGTGCACTCGCGGTTACTGAAGAGTTAGGTAGTTCAATGCTTCATCCAGTCGTAACTTGAATGAATCGATGGTTGGTGCACAAACAACTTGAGGTGGAAGAGAGTTCCAGGTGTTACAAACTCTGAGGCTAAAAGAATGACGCCTGCAGTCCAGCCAGCTCTTTTGGAGCAGAAGTTTAAACGGATGTCCTCGAGGGTGACTATTCCTGGATAACGTCACTAGAGTACTACACGGGTGGTTATATTGATGTAGTATTTGATAAACAAGGATCATGTCTCTCCGTATTCTATGGTATTCAGACAAACAGAGCTCGATAATTCGCAGTCTTTCACTGTAGGTCTTAGACTGTAACCCCTTGATCATTTTGGTTGCTGTTCTCTGCGGATATTCAAGTGTCTTTTGGTTGCAAATCAGCCATGGATTCCAAGCCTGTATAGCATACTCAGTGTGTAGTCTAATGTATGCTGATAACAAACGGGGCAATAGGTCTGTTTCGAATGATCCAAAAACACGTTTTAGCAATCCAACGTGTATTATAGCATTTGAAGACGCTCTTGTGCAATGTGTGGAATATCCTATATCATCACGAACGATAACTCTCAGGTCTTTTTCGTTTGGAGAACGCGGCAATGATTCCAAGTGAGTATGGATAACGACCCTCTTGGCGCGGTGATACAACCTTGGATTTTTCAACGTTGAATTCGATGTAATTAATGATGGACCATCGATAAGCTGCGTCGAGTGTTTCCTGCAAGCTTTCATGATCTTCCGAATATTTTACCGTCTTTCATGTTTTGGCATCATCAGCGAACAATGATGCCTTTTCTCTAAGGACATCTGGTGGGTCGTTTATGAATGCTAGGAAAAGGTACGGAACGAGTACGGATCCTTGTTGGACTCCACGGACAGCCTCAATCGATCCCGACACAGAACCACTAACTCGAATCGATACGGTTCGTTGTCGAAGAAATGCCTTAATCCAGTCCAGTTGCAGTCATCGGACACCGTAATTATGGAGCTTTCGTAGCAATATGTGTTGATTAACCTTGTCAAAAGCTTTGGAGAAGTCTAAGTATACTACGTCTATTGCCTCTTCTGCGTCGACTGACCTTGTCCATTCATCTCGTGCAAGCAGCAGATTAGAACGTGACGGTGGTCAGTTGGGGTTATGGGACACCTGATGGAAGATGTGCAAGCTGTAATCTGCCTATGTTACCTGCAGTGAACACTTCGTAGAACTGGACTTTTAGGAATTCGGCTGCTTCAGCAGTAGTAGTGGAAATGCGTCCTGTATGCCTTAGTGCCCGTATCCTGGTAGGATTGATATGCTTACACAGTAGCTTTGGACTGGCAAGCTTTTTGAAACCTTCGTTTATCCTCCCGCACTAATTTTACACAAAGGTTTCTCAACAAAATATAGTTATCCCAAGTGTCGGCGGCCGGACATCTTCTGAACTCTCGCCAGGAGAAATTCCTCTATGACATCCATTTCTTGGTTCGACTACAGATAGGTGATAACCATGTAGGCAACGCACCGACAGACGTGGTTTTTGTGGCGACCGTTATGAGTTTTGTAAGTGTTTCAATGAATCTTTTCCAGGACTCCAGTGGATCTAGCTGCTATTCTGATTGTGTCCATTGTTTGACAGTAGGAAGTTTCAGTAATTCATTGTGATCAATAAAGGTGCGTGTGTTGGTTTTCAGACATATTCTTATTGAGGTGCGGTAAATACAATCGAAAAGCAGAACTCCATGGTCACTTCGTCCTAATGGGGACGTTGTTTCGATCGATTCAACTATAAGCTCCTCGCTTTTCAATACCAAGCTAATGTTGATGGTTGATGGCCTGCTCCAAATCTGGTGGGATTCTTCACGTGATTATACATCGGATGTGAGTCTATAAACTGTGATAAGTTTCGCTCTAAAGGGTGATAATAGTTCCGACGTTTTATAAAATTGGGATAATTGAAGTCCCTCATTATGATAACATAAGTGAACTTTATTGAGAATGTGTTTCTCATAGTCTGCAAGAGTGCCTCATTAGCTAAGTCTGAATTTAGATTTAGTTTGTGTAATTAGTTCTAACAGAAATTCACTTGAATGGTCACAAGGGTTAGTTAAAAGTAATGGCTTACCAACACTTCCTCGAAGAACAGAACTCTTATTGCAGACGTGTGTTCGGATTTTAGATTCTTTCCCGCCTCATCTTGTCGACAAATGATAACCAATCTAAGACAAGATGAGAAATCCTTGATCAAATGAGCGGCCTCTTCCGACGTTTGGCAGACTGCGACTTCCAGCTCAGCTAAAATGAAACAAAAATACTCTGCAATTGTTGAACACAACCAACAGTCTCATACATCGTTTAAACCTAAGGTTATGCAAGCAATACACTTAAATTTGTACCGACTATGGATTTTTTATCATTTCATCCTTGGTATCTGTGACAAATCCCGAATGGACTTAGTAAATTTTAGACTCACTCTTCCCATTTGTACTTGGTGCGTTAGTTTCAGGAAATGAGTAGTGAGAATGATGTAGCACAAAGGCTAGTTGCATAGAATCTACCAATTTTTCAGACTCAACACTAACTGCTTCCATCATATATGATTTATCTCATTCGTGAACCGTTAACAATATGATTTCTCGCATGATCTTTTTGGGACCGTAACACGGTCATCATTTCGGAGATGTATGTCACACTTGCTTTGACCTTGATCAGGTCAGCAAAAGGTGCCAATGAACTGGCTTGGACGGTCGTATTCATTTTCTTCCCACGCATCACGTTGAGCTACAATACTTCTGAAAGTGCACAAATAGCAAAATATTAAATGGAAACGGACTTTGATTAGGCCTTAGTCCGTGTGAATAATAATAACCACAGATATAATGTCCATTTATGGTATAGTTGAAGCCTTCTAAATGCCGTTCTCGAGAATAATATGGTTAGAGCCAAATATAAATGCCAATAACTGAATCGCGGCGGTCAGGCCATACGTTGGCGTGGGTGTGTGAACAGATTATCCTGAGCATCGAATTCGGTTGGTGCAGTCCATTTTCAAGGAATCAAGATTGTCGCTGGTAACCAGCCAAAATTATGGTTGTGCTTGTCCTCCTGATTATCTATAATGGGTTTCCGCCCACCATTCTCGTTTTCATTCAAGACTCTCTCTATATTATTATTTTCGTCGCGTTGGCATGATTTTCTTCCTCAATTAATATACGTGGGCATTTAATCCGATTACGTATCACAAATGAGAATGGAGTATGCCACTTTTAGCACACTGATAACAGTAAAGTGCGTATAATAGCTGGCACATACACAATGAAGTGCAGTTCACGGAATGCGGTCTTTTTTTATCAGCTTGGTATGACCAATTTCGCAAAATCAATGCTAAAGATAGAGGAGCATGAAAAGGATACATTGAAAGTGAACTATTGCAGGTATTTGATGTATTGCGTTTTCTGTAGATGGTATTTACAGTTTATACTCAGCTCCTACTTATCAGATTTCGTCAGGCGATGAAAACCAAGATCAATCATGTTGCTATTTTTTATGTGGGATCTTTTTTTATCATGTTTAATATCTTTTGGTTTTCCGGGCTATCGGGAAGAAGTCTAGTATGTTCGGTTTTGATAGTGTTATCTGCCTTAGTATCCCACCCGTAATTCAGTTGGAATTTGGACAACATATCGATTCCTCCCCTTCAACTCTATCCAACTTTTCTTCATAAATGAGATCCTCAGCTATGGAAAACCGACAGTGATATACACTTACGTTTCTTAGTCATCTAGGTCACATACCTCTGGGTTCATGTTAACACACTCAATTTAGATTTGGAAGAACCAGAACTGTGCAGCAAAGCCATTCAAGACGATGTCAAGAAGTATGTAAAAAGTATACATTGATCAGAACAGCCTTTCAATCCTGCAACTTGTTGGAGAGGAGGTTGTTCCACTGTGACTTACTTGTAGCTCTAATATTGATACTCAGTTTCTTTTGATTACCTGCATTTGGCTGTGGAGTGGTATTCAATAACTACTAAATTTCCCGCAGTGTATTCAGTTATTCCCACTGGTCTAGGTATCCACGATGCCATTTGGCAGTCATCCATCGCTGCATTATTATGAACTATAATGAAGGCGCAGGAAAATCCATTTTAGTGACATTAACCATGTCTAAAAATGTATATCTCCAACCGAACGCGTTGGGAACAGAGAAGGAAACTCGTCTCGAGTACGAATATTTGCTCCATCATAAGTTGTAGCTAGAAACAGTCACTACCTTGCTAAGGGAAGTGAAAATTTAAACACATTTTAATGAACCCTGTTAGTGCCTTTTGACGGGAGTTACAAGGGGGACCATTCTTAGTAATAGAATGTTTAGCCAACTGTAGGCTATGAAACCAACAACGTAGGATAACCGAAGGTAAAAATCAGCTGGTTTAAGTGGATCCTATGCCCGGAATTTTGTTTTACTTTGTTTGATCACTCTGCTGATAGCAGATTGTAATCAATTAGTGGTTGCGCAGTAACTTACTCTGATTTAGAATGTGTTGCAGTCCTTCGTTGCCCAGAGTTGAATACAATGGAGTGTAAATATAGTTGTACTCCGCACAGGCAAACATTGCTACGACCCACTGAAGAGGGAAAAAATTAGGACTTCAGGAATAACTTTCAAGAATTTGAAATCTGTTCATTACAAACAATTTCAAAAGACAACGGAAAGAAACACGAACATATTTTAGCCAATACCCACATGTTTGTAGAGTTTTACTATAGAGTAGATACCTAGAATCTGGGACTGATGAGTTTGTCAGCAAAAACAGAATCCGTTTATTATGGTTGCAAAGTAAAATATCGTCTGTTTCGTTTGATCAGAGGCAATAGCTAGAAGGGACTTGTAAGCTTTGTATGGGAAACCCAAAGGCCAACGTCAGTGTTTCAGTGTTTAGTCGATCGCCGAAATTTCCAGTTCTACAGCGAAAATCCATCACTAATTGCGGGGAAATTTTTAATAGATCAGTTATTTTACATTCAAACACGTTAAAGTAGGTATGATGAAGTTGTTTTTTACTAGAAAATTTGCATATTGACGATGAGTGCATATCTTCTTCTCGTCTAAACAAGCTTTTTTTAAATAAAACGTTAATTAACGTCTAAGGAATGACACCTAACTGGAGTTTACTGTAAGAATGAATCAAAAATTTGGCGACCTTCTGAAGCTGTTTGAGTTTTCAACGGCATTTCAAGTTCTGTTAAGCCTGCAATTTAGCCAAATATTAGACTTTGGACGGTCGTTGGGAAATCTGAAAAAGTATTTCGCCTTAGAGATCTGCGTCACTTGAGATTTCCTGGTTGGAGGCATTGTGATCAGGTTAATCGATGGCAAAATACATTCAGCTTTATGGATGAGCATTGCAAACTCCAGTGCCCATGCATCTACTTACTTTACTCCGCGTTCTATCTCAATTGTATTCGGTATATCTACCTTCTTACTAATCTCAGCAATCTACCTCTTCCGTCTACTCTTTCATTCAAATGGGCAATCAAAATGTACCGTTGAGACCGCCGCGCTAAAGTGCAAGGTAAGTAGTTGTATTGAAACTGTCATTTACGAAGCGCTCAAACCATTCTTAATTCTACGTTTTTCCACTTCCTCTTTACAATTCCGTTTTGGTGAAATTATACACTGGAAAACGATGCTGATTCAATCAAAGATGTCAACTGCTTGCTACCTATTGCTTTTTCGCAAAGTCCCCTGTTTTTCATCCAACGTATTCAAAAGGAGTGTCTAAGAAAAATATCGAAATGATGCCGCCGTCCATTCCATTGCAATGAACTACAAAATTTCTCGCTTAATGTAATAAACATTCTGATAGTTTCTTTTATTGCAGCAGGTGGTAATTCATATCACTGATTCCCTAACTTTACCTTTATTATTTTTTCTAGTTAGATGACTTCGCTGCACTGCTTTCACTCGCTTTGTTTGTTCACAGATGGCATTACTCATCTTCATTTCTGCCGCTTATCCCTATCTTGTTTTTCTTGCTGCCTGATTGCTAGATTTAATTTCAATACCTATTTCGAACGAGTATCTTTTGACCAATATCCGTAGATGCGATGCTTTTCTATCTTATCCTTTCTTTTTCTTCTTCTTCTGTGTTCTGTACTTCCACCATATATACTATATAGATGTAAAACAAAAAGAGTGATACGGGATAATACATCAAAATGTATGTCAAAATGTACAGTAGAGGGAGAAACTATGATAAAATGAGAAGGTAAATAATCAACATTCTAGTTCGATGACCGGATATTTCGCACACTTTGGTCGTCTGAATAGCCCCAGAAATATTCGTAAGAACACTCGGTCTTCCATGGTCAACATCAAACTCAACACCGCCATCCCCCCTCGGAATGCCCTTATTGAACTGAACCAGTGCGTATGTGTGACAGTTGAAATGAGGGCCACAACAGATCGAGGAACTAGAACTTTGATTGTTTATCTGCTCATTGTGTTACGGTTTTTCACCCACCCCCCCCCCCCCCCCACCCACTCTACTAGACATATTGACAGGAATTTTGATACATTAGCCTGTAGCACAGTCACCGCAAATAAGCTTATTAATGATTTTTCTAAAAATGTATAATGGCGCTATATTTGAACAAAAAGATCAATGTTACAACCAAATCGACTCCCGTTCTTAGAGATCTCAGCCAAACTTAGTTATCGTCAATACCGTGATCTCACAAACACTGTCGGCTTCATCTAACTGCCACTGGATCTTCAAATTTTTAATCATTGGGATGCAAAAGTCTACGGCTTGTACCTCGTTTAGAATAGGATCTCAGACCTGTTAATGACAACAATCTGGTGAGTTCATCAATCGGGAGTATGAAATGGTAAAATCATTTCACAGTGGGAAGCACATATGGGTTGAAAGTATAGATAAGTTGCGAAAACCCTTATTGCTTATGCGAATACTGGCGCTTCATAATCATATGGTGGAACTTGCACCCAGTGCATTTCCACTATGGGTTACTTCACCATATCATTATGTCGGATAAGCATGCAACAGAGCCTAGTGATCTAAAAACCAACTGCCTCTTAATTCGGCTGTTGGTGGTCGAGGTCCGACCGGAGACGTTATTAACTGAGGAACGCTACTGACAANCTAAAACCTTCCAAACACTACCATCGCTCTACCACCCCAGTTTGGTTTTTCCAACATTAGGTAGTTAGTATCCTACCTAGAGGTGTTGTCAACTGTTGTGTGTTCAAAGCAAATGTATAAAACACGCTTTGTTCTTTGGGATGTACTCTATTTGTGGTCTCTATTTTCTGAATTGGTAGAGCGGGATTCATCGTTGAAATATAATCTTCATTGCCCAGGCCTAATCAGATTAGTAGGCTTGGCTAATTTTGTCATCTTTGAAGTTTACAAAAGGTTGATTTAGTTACGGAAAATATGTCAGTGGTATGATAAACCCGTCAAAATGTTTATCCTAAAAGAAAACGTCACTCTATAAACGTCATCGATTTTATTTTAGACTTCCATTCAGTTGTAGCTGTCGAACGTAAACGATACCTCTCGGAGCATATGCGTCCGATATTGATGAAAAAAATAATCCGTATGTTGAATAACTGCAAGCTTCTGTTTTGGTCATTATTGTTAATTACTTAAGTAAATATTGACAAAACCGAAGTTTTGCGAACAAACATTTAGTCATTTGGTGCGGTATACATGGTTACGATTGGAAGAAAGACGAAACTTCGTTTGATTTCAAGAATTTTAAATAGTTTTTGAACGTGAACGTCTTGCACAGCAAACCACGGTTTCCTGAACAGAAACCTTGCTCTTTTGCATACTTTTATAGAGTTAATGTAGAGGTTACTTTCACAAAACATCAATCATTTATTAGTGCGGATTTCAGCCGAGCAACAATTTCGAGGAAGAAAGCGATACATCTCACAGTTGTGAGAGAAGTTTTTCGAACTCTACTTCTGGATCCAGTTGTTTAGTTCTCCATATTGGACAACAAAATTTAGGTCTGAGAGACAGAACTTCGACCAACAATTAGTTTGACTTCATATATATATATTTAACACTAGCTTGAGAACAAGCTTGGTGCCAGCGCCATAACAATATTAACAACAACAATAACGAGGGAGGAGGGTTGGGGCACAGAGTACAAGGAAAAGATGTAGCTGTCAGAACAGGAGATTAAGAATAAGTGGAATAACATTTTTTTTTTGTTTTTTTCACCGCACACTTTTGGAGGAAAGATTGGGAAGAATATTCATGTTCAAGCTACAGAATATTGTTTTGAAGCTCACAATTAAGCGATGCCAGCTGTACATACGATATATCGACGATATATTATGCTCTGTGGACAGTAACGTCAAGATGCCCGACTTGCTCAGAATATTTAATCTCGCTCATCCCAACATCAGGTTCATTTTCAAAAAAAGAAATTAATAGCAGGATCGGTTTTTTCAACATCTGGCTAAAGCGTTGCATAGATGATTCTATTCAGAGATCGATTTATAGGAAACCGACTTGGAGCGGACAATATCTCCATTTCAGAGATTTTGTGCTACTCATATATATATATATATATATATATATATATATATATATAT